ATATATATATATATATAATATACACACACACACACACACACACACATTTCCTGAGAATATTTCCTGTTCTGGTGGCTACACTGCTGCATTTCCCTATTAAAGGGGGGGGAATAACACATGTGAATCAAAAGTTACATGGCAGTTTTAGAACTGCCATTTGATCAAACAATTTCGCTTCTGAGTATTTATCTGAAGGGAAATACAATTAACTCAAAAGGACATATGCATCCTCATGCTCACTGCAGCATTATTTACAACAGTCTAGACATGGAAGCAATCTAAGTGTCCACCGACGGATGAATGGATAAAGAAAATGTGGTATTTACACACAATAGAGTGTTATTCAGCCACAAGAAGAAGGAAATCTTGTCATTCACATCAACATGGATGGACCTTTTTTTTGTACTTTATTTTTTTATTTTATTTTATTTTTTAAACTTTTTTTTATTGAGTTATAGTCATTTTACAATGTTGTGTCAAATTCCAGTTTAGAGCACAATTTTTCAGTTATACATAAACATGCATATATTCATTGTCACATTTTGTTTTCCGCTGTGAGCTACCGCAAGATCTTGTATATACTTCCCTGTGCTATACAGTATAATCTTGTTTATCTATTCTATATGCCTGTCAGTATCTACAAATTTTGAAATCCCCGTCTGTCCCTCCCCACCCCCCTCCTTGGCAACCACAAGTTTGTATTCTATGTCTATGAGTCTGTTTCTGTTTTGTATTTATGTTCTTTTTTTGTTTGTTTTAGATTCCACATATGAGCAATCTCATACGGTATTTTTCTTTCTCTTTCTGGCTTACTTCACTTAGAATGACATTCTCCAGGAACATCAATGTTGCTGCAAATGGTGTTATGTTGTCAGTTTTTATGGCTGAATAGTATTCCACTGTATAAATATACCACATCTTCTTTATCCAGTCATCTGTTGATGAACATTTAGGCTGTTTCCAACAACAACATGGATGGACCTTGAGGGGATTATGCTAAGTGAAATAAGCCAGGCAGAGAA